TTCTCTTGGGGATGAGAACTAGTGAGGCAACTATGTATTTGCATTTCCTTTTCCCTGACAATCTTGCACCACTTCTGTACTTCGGACCTCCAGTAAATATCATCTCAGGCACTCAGCCAGAAATTCTGTCAAAGACTTTCTTCCTTTTAAGTAACAGTCCCACTCATTCCACTCAATGTGAATTCTGTCTTTCCTTTCCTGTTTGCTCTGGGTTGCCCTGTTTCAATTGCTCACAACCTTTTACCTAGATGATTTCAACAGAGTTCAAACTGGTCTTTCTCCTCTATGTTTTCTTGACCACTTTGTCCCACACTCTGCCATGAGCATAGTCTTTCTTAAATAAAAGTGAGGTCACTACCCTTCTCAAAATAAAAACCAAAACCCACCAAAAAAACCCAGCAACATTCTCTTTTGCAGAATAAAATCCCCCCTGGTTAGTGTTTTAGAACTTCCACAAGTTGACCTTGATGGAAACTTTCAAACTTTTTTCTCATTTTGTTACAGAACAGGGAGAGGGGCAGCCCAAACCCCGCAAACCTGCCTATTCTACATGGGTTCTGCCATCCGCCGCATCAACACAAAACATAGGAGACTTTAATGGGAAGGAACTTTAATAAAACTAGGAAACAATACAGGTAAGGCAAAGAGTCTAGTTTCTAAATGAAGCATCCAGAGTTACCCGTCCCCTCGTGGGTAAAAGTCCATCCAAATGGGATTGGCCCAGAACAAGGCCCCAAAGCCTGCTACAAGTCTAAAGCATCTTCCAGTGGGGACCCACAGAAAAGGGTCACAAACAACTGGACAAGCCCGGAAGGAAAAGAGCAAAATCAACATCAAGATAAAAGTTGCCATTGTCACCTCCCCACGGGTCTCACCCACATCTGTGTCACCTAGTCCACGACCAAAAGACAAGCGCAGTTTCTTCACGTGTCTCTAGGCTCCATGTGCCTCCTCCAGGTCTCCTTGCTCCATCCTGTTTCCTTCCTTAGTCTCCTCTGCAGGTTCTCCTCTTCCTGCTCAGCTCCACCCTCCCTTGGGTGGGGCAGGGAACGTGGAACCTCCCCCTTTCCTGGGGACCACCCTGTTACAATTTCACAACCTGTTTATTTATTTATTTTTTATTTTAAGACGTATTTATTTATGCATACAAGAGCTGGGGTACAGGCCAGAGATGCGGGGGGTGAGATGATTCACCAGAGACAGAGTGGGGAACAGAACAGGCATATTGACAAAAGTACACTGCTGAGGGGTGCAGCGGGCGAGACCGGAGAGGTCTGCTGCACCATGTGGGTTGCTCCCTGAGATAGAACTCGTGCTGCAGAGGCTTTGGATTGCTTCATAGTGTGGTATTAACCCTTTGCGCCACCAGGGAGGCCCTCACAACCTGTTTAAACCTTCATCCACACCACACTTAATCATCTTCCTGAACCTGCTTTGTACTTTCTTGTCCCTTTATCTGTGCTCCTATTAGATCTTCCCCTAAATTCTTTTCTTCCATCTATTTTTTAAGGCTTGGCCCAGATTACATCAGATGTATAACAAATTATCCCAACATGTAGTGGCTTATGATAAACATCTCCCACAGTTTCTGTGAGTTAGGAATTTAGGAGCACCTTGCTAAATCACTTGGCTAGGGATTGTTCTTGGGACTGCCCTCATCGGAGGACTGGCAGATCTGCTTCCATGACTGGCAAGCTGTTGCTGGCTCTTGATGGGAAGCTTAAATTCTTCTCTAGGGTTGTTTGAGTGTTCTCTGTGGCAGCTGGCTTCCCCAAGAGTAAACAATTCAAGAACATGGAAACCAGAATGCTTTTTCTCATCTGGTGTGAGAAGTCACACATTTCACTAGACTGTTTTGGTCATGTTCAGCTCTGGCGTGAGGGACATTATATGTACAAGAGCATGAATACCAGTAAGTGAGGACCATCAAGGACAGTGTGGAGGCTGTTAATGCACCATCTCCTCAGGAGGCTTTCTAGATCCCCTGAATTTATGTGTCCCTTTCCTCCCTGTTCACAGCAGATGAAATTCTTTAAAATTCAGAACTGGAGATCTCCCAATAAAATCACATTCCCCCCTCCTCTAGTTATTTGATATCATAAAGTGTGATCCTAAAATCTGCTTTAATTATCAAAGGACTTCGTGTGGAGGAATCTTTTTTTCAGAAAGTCTCCCCAAAACTTTGTTGCTTTGGAATTGGTATTAATGAAAATAGAACACCCCTTTTTTGCCAACTGGGATGGGACATGACCCATCCAGTTCACTTAGATTTAGGTAAGTTGCCTCAGTTTACAGTGCGGAAGTTTGAAAATGGGGGTTTTGGACACAATATTCTATATTAATCTTAAATTTATATTTCAAGGAAGAAGAATCCAGAGTCTGTTTCTCAACCCTGGTCTGATTATCAGCCCCAAACACGGATTTGCTTTGCTTTGGGCCTTTTAAGTATGTTTCACTTGGACTTTATATAACCCTCTCCCATCCCCTCATTCCCTAACAACTCCCATTTCTTCCCTTTTGGGGAGACATATGCACAATTCCTCCGCTGTGTGGTGTCTTGTGCTGCAAAAATTCAATAAACCTAGTTTTGTTGGGTTACAAGTTTGTCCCTGGTGGGCTTTATAAACAGTTCAAATTGTTTGAGTTCAAATAATTAATTTCCTTTTTTTACAATCACCCATGCTTCTTGTACCTTTTATGTTAACTATTAGACTATCTTGCCCAATGAGTCATTCTTATTTTTCTTCTATTTACTAAGCTTATCTCTCCTCTGAATTATAACCTATTTCCTAAATAAACTGTTTTTCAGACTAACAGTTTATGATATTTTCTACTCAGGTTCCTAACACTTGCTCATTACAATGCAATTTATCAGTGAGGGAATAATTCTCCCTCTTGTCCTCAGTGAGTTCTCTGGTCCTTTAAGATTCAGCTACAAAATCATCTCGTCTGGTAAGTCTTAGTTCTTTCAGGAGCTTTCTGTAGACAAAACTAAGCATTTTTCTCTTTTGTGCTATGATTATGCCTATTCATACTTCTAGTATGGCACTCACCACATTTATAATTTTTTTTTCAGGTTTTTCTTCCCTACCAGTGACTGGATAATAAGGATTATGATCTACATATCTTTATATCCTCTGTGCTAGGCATACCTAATTGCTAAATGGGGTGGTGAAAATATCTACGTGGAAAATGGAGAATTTAGAAGCTCCTCTTTAGCAAAATTAGACAGTTGTACTCTGACTCCTCCATACGCCTTCCCCCATACATACACATCATTACTATTTGTGATTTGTTAAGCAACTACCAATTTATATTGCGAACACTCCTAGGAAGTCATTGCTCTGTGGACTGCGCCAAATCTGTTATAGGACAGGGAGAGGGGCAGCCCAAACCCCGCAAACCTGCCTATTCTACATGGGTTCTGCCATCTGCCGCATCAACACAAAACATAGGAGACTTTAATGGGAAGGAACTTTAATAAAACTAGGAAACAATACAGGTAAGGCAAAGAGTCTAGTTTCTAAATGAAGCACCCAAAGTTACCCGTCCCCTCATGGGTAAAAGTCCATCCAAATGGGATTGGCCCAGAACAAGGCCCCAAAGCCTGCTACAAGTCTAAAGCATCTTCCAGTGGGGACCCACAGAAAAGGGTCACAAACAACTGGACAAGCCCGGAAGGAAAAGAGCAAAATCAACATCAAGATAAAAGTTGCCATTGTCACCTCCCCACGGGTCTCACCCACATCTGTGTCACCCAGTCCACAACCAAAAGACAAGCGCAGTTTCTTCACGTGTCTCTAGGCTCCATGTGCCTCCTCCAGGTCTCCTTGCTCCATCCTGCTTCCTTCCTCAGTCTCTTCTGCAGCTTCTCCTCTTCCTGCTCAGCTCCACCCTCCCTTGGGTGGGGCAGGGAACCTGGAACTTCCCCCTTTCCTGGGGACCACCCTGTTACACTTTCACAGGTAGATTACTTAGGTATGTGTGTATTACGTAAAGCGTAAAGCTTTATTTTTTTTCTGACTGACACTAGTTTTTCTCCAGTCTCAACTGGAGGCGGGGATTCACTAACTCACTGTACATATGCCAGTCTAAAAGCCAGGGCTAACAACCCTGCCTCATAGGGCCAGACAGAATAACGCTGTAATCTGAAATGTCCTTCTCATTCTGGGAGTAAGGCCAGCACCAATACAACGCACGATTGTTATTTCTGAATGTCCCTTTGCAAAGAACAGTGTTTCTCAAACTTTTTGTTTGATTAGACCCACATAAAGAAATACATTTTATACCATTAGTCGGGACACACAGATATGAAAGACGAGGATGAAAATTTCTCGAAACTCCTTTATATGTGATACCCTGCAAGATTTTTTCCATTGTGTTCTGTTCTTTCCGATTTCATTAAAAAACTAAAATGGTGTTCTCGAGCTACCCAACTGATTTCACAATCCCCTAAGGATTCTAACTCATAACATGGAAAACACTGAAGCTTTCCGGTTTGCAGTCTTTCTTCCCACACCTCCCCATACATCTCGGGAGACCCCGACTGTTGTTTCCATCTAGAGGATCCCTGCGCCCCCAGTCTCCTGCAAATGCTCCTCGATGGGCCCGACCTCCTCCCCAGGCTCCTTTAAGAGGGTGGTAACGGCCCATCACGGGGGTGGAGTGGCAGGTCCCACTTGGTCCCAGGCGCAGGCCAGGCCCGCTTTTCCAGTTCTGTGAAAGCCTGGGCGTGTGCGCGCCGAAGTGGGGGTAGGGATGCGCCGGGGGTAGCCAGCAGGCCTGGGAAGAGCGACCAGCCGCCGAGCTGCACCGCCCTGTGGGGGCCTGCGCGTGCGCAGAGCGCGCGCCCGGCCGGTTCCGGGTCCGCGGCGCCCGCGCACGCTCCCGCCGAGCTCCAGTCCGAGGTGGGCTCCGGCGCGCGGACGACGCGGCGGCGGCGCGCGCCAGGGGGCGGGCCCGCTCGGACGGCCCCGCCCTCCCTCCGCGCGCTCCTCTCCTCCCAGTCTCCCCCGCGCTTCCTGCATTAAAGTAGTCGCCGCCGCATTCCCCTTCCCGGCTCGCTGGCTCAGGCGGTGCCATGGCGGCCTTCAGCAAGTACCTGACGGCGCGGAACTCCTCGCTGGCGGGGGCCGCGCTCCTGCTGCTCTGCCTGCTCCACAAGCGGCGCCGCGCCCTCGGCCTGCAGGGGTAAGAAGGCCCACGATCGCGCCGCCTTCCCGGGCCCGAGAGGGCGCTCCCGGCGCGCTCCACCTCCCCGCCCGGCGCCCGCTGGACCAGTCCCCTTGCCCGGAGGGGTCAAGCGGGGCGAGCGCCGGCCGCGGCCGCTGCCAGCCTCCAATGTCAGGGTGTCCGTGTGTCCCTGCCGCCCGGCGTCCCCGGCGATCCCTGCACCCCCGCGGGGCTGGCCGGCTCCCTCTCAGCCTCCGGGGTGCGAGTCGTTCTCCACCGCCCGGGAGCAAACCAGTGCCTCGCCTCCGAGGCTGCCGCCCCCCAGCCCCCTCGCCCTTCTCCCCCTCATGACCACCCCCTTTCTGTGTCAACTTTCTGGGTGTGTGCTGGTTTTGCCATCTCATCTCCTGAGAGACCGCGAAGTATTTGCCTTGTGGACGGGTTTGTGAGATTTGAGGAGAGGGGTTGGACTTGCCAAACTGGAGGCTGTTGGCTAAGTCAGCTGGAGGAGGTTGTGCACCATTCGCGAGGAGCTGCTGTGGAAAGGCGCCAGGATAGAACTATCCTGGGTCTGCTAGGCAGAGTTACCTTCTAAAGTGGTGTCCCCTTGGAGGTGGTCAGTGAACACCTGGCTTTTTTTTATCCTGAGAGGCTGAATCGGTTCTGGGGTTGTTGGGAAACAAGGTTCCCTCTCCTGCTAATGCAGGTGATAGGTGAAAATACTCCCAGTGAAGATCAAGGGCCTTTGTGATTATACTCCATTGTTTCCCTGCCTCCAGGAGAACTTTAAAGTTCAGGTTTAATTTGGGGTGATTATACGATTAGGGGGAGAGCTTTGTGTTATTGTTTTGGGGATACAAACAGCATTTTTTATTTTTGTTGGCTGGGAGACACTTGCCTTCAGCAAAGCAACGAGAAAAAAATACTTCCCAAACAATCTTACAAGTCACGGGATGTTTTATACGAAGTCTTGGCAGGCTGCTTTCATGCATTTTATTTCATTCCTTTCTTTGGGCTGTCGCCTTTTTTGATTTGCCTAAAATATCTGATTAGTAGGCTTTGGACTGAAACACTGACTAGTGGCCTTCTTCATAAAGTTCTTTTTCACCACCTCCTGTCTTTTTTGCTATGGTCTAAAGCGATGGTCTTTCATTCCCTTCCAAAATCCGTTTAGCAAAGTGGAAATGGTTAGCTGCTTTCTCTGAACAATACATTACCTATTCACTTCTATTTGGTTTGCTTTTAAAATGATTAATTCTGGAAAACATAAGCTTTTTTTTTTCCTACTGGGTTTTATATTTTTTGAGCTAGTAGTTGCAAACGGAAGTTTTTGTTATCTAGACATGTTAATAGAAAGTGTTAAGTACTATAAAATCACTTTGAATTACATTTTTTGCAGAGAATGTTTCTATGTAGAGCAAGTGGGTGAGGGAATTTGAGTCTAGCCCTGGCTTACTTTTAGGATAAAGAAAAGTTTCTTATTGAATATTACATACATACATGAAAGTAGTCATGTTATAAATATAGAACTTGAAGAATTTTCACAACTAGAACTCACCTGTGTGGTCCTCAACTAGTTCTGCACTGGGATAAGAACATTGTCCCAGTTTCTGGGAGTCTTCATGCTCCCTTGCAGTCACAGCTAAGGTAGCTGCTAATTTATAAGATAACAGGCTGTTGAGTAAGGAAAGTTTTGAACATAATCTAATTGGAAATAGCAAAATAGTATAATAGAATCTATCTTATTGATAATTTTAGCTCTTCGTTCCCAATTGTGAAGTGCTTAAAAATCTCTTTAAGAAACTTCACAAGCATTTTGGGGGACTAAATTATGCAACAGTTAATTTACTCACCAAAAAATTGTCAATCTTTTGCATTGGCTGGAGTAAGGAAAGTATTTCATGCGTTAAATATCTTGTGGAAGGAGAATGCAAATTATGGACAGATAGACATTAACTTTAAATTACTGAGGAAAAATAAATTACTTTAAAACCATTAAAAATGTGTTGTCATATCATTGTAGGTGTTTTGTTTCCAGTCGCTATTTTTGGTACCACCATTAGAAGATTAGAAAATTCTAACGTTATGTTTTGTTTTTTTGAACATCTTTGATAACTGGGTTAATATTACTCTCAGTACTTAGTTAAAAATCTGTGACTGCTCAAACTTTTTTTTTTTTGTCTAGACTATTAACAACAGATTTGTCTCAGGTTTGTCTTAAAATTGCTTGGGTAATAGAGCTAGTAAGACCATTTTGAAAATTATAGTACTACAGTATTCCAAACATTAGGATAATGAGTGATTTAATATTTTGGATTATTATTAATTTTTTTAATGCAGTTTTTTTCACCAGTTAAATCATAATGACTTTTTATTATGGAAAATTTCACACATAAACAAAATAAACAATAATATAATGAACCTCCTACATACTTTACCCAAGAATTACCATACCATTCAGCCATTCCCATTTTGTCTGTATTTCCTTGCTTGTCACGCCTTATTTTTATAGGTTTTTAGGTTAAATTTAAATATATTAGGATGTTCAAATCTTAGCTTTTTAGATACATGGATACAAGCATGTGTTATACCCCATCACAAATGAGAACATTTTTATCTCCCCAGAAAGTTCCCTTGTTTTCATTCTTCCTCCACTTTGTTAATTCTTTTTATCTTAGTTTTGCCTAGTCATACTTCTTATTCTACTATTTGGGGAATAGTAGAATTTTTTTACTCAAAGATAAAAGAGATGGTTTACTTCAGAAAAAGTATCTGTTTCTGAATGTTGTATTACTGTACTGGGCCCTCTCTGATGGAGAGGTATGTGTATATGTATTATACATGCATTAAAAATGTAAATGCTTCTTAGGGAACTTAAAATCTTTTTAGGGAGTGGAAATTTAAATGCAAGTTCGTTAATATAAGGGGATGACAGAATGCAGTGTAGAGATGGGCATGGCTTTGAAATTCTGAGAATGGAGAGATTGTTTGGGAAGAGTTAGGGAAGAGTTTGTGAAGGATGTGAGCTAAGCCTGGAAAGGGGGCTGGAAGGGATAACTGGAGGTATATTGAATGCTATAATAGTCTTTTTAATAATCAGGTTTTTGTTACCTTTTATGATGGGAAGAAATTTTGTGATGGCTGTTCAATACATATATTGCCTCCAGAGCTCTTTTTAAGAAACACAAATGTGCTCACGTTATTCCTTCATGTTATCTTTCAGCTATTCCCAAGAATAAAATTCTTAGCGTGAGAGAATGGTGTTCATGATCCTTGCCTGCTTCTACCCGCCCAGCCATATGGGATTAACGTGCAGTCTCGCCAGGCTCTGCCCAGCCTTTGCAGTCTGATTGTAATCTCTGCCACCCCCGTTGTTCTCCCCAGTCTTTGATGTTTGCTTTTCTCCAAGACTCAGTTTAATCAGCACTTCTATTAGGTGTTTTCTGTCTTTTTGTGATCTCCAAACTGATGTTGCTGCCTTCTGTGCCTATAATACCCTAAGTATTCCTCTAACTCTTAATTGTTACTGCTCTGTATTGTGCTAGTTTGTTTTTTGCCTTCTGCCTACATTGGATTCTACGTTTCTTGAGGGCATGAACTGAGTCATCTTTAAATTCCTAGTTTGCACATGGCTTGGCACTTAGCACATGTTTATAGGGTGAACGAATGATATAGGAATGATATAGGATCGTTAGAAGAACTTTCATGGGTAATTGACAGGCAATTGGAGGTAGGAACCAGTACAAACTGGAGTAGCAGCATTGTCTTCACAGACGTGGTAATTGTGTACCTGAGGGTATAAAACATGAGGGATATCAATGGACCAATTTTAGAAGGCAAGGAAAGGGACCAGTGTACATTGCCAAAGTGTTTTGGATCTTAAAAAGGGCAAAACAAAACCAAAACAGTACAAAGCAGGTTTTTTCCCTTCCCATGAACGCTTGTCAAAGTTCAGATTTCTCATCTGGATTTCAGAGCCCTCCTCAATCTGGTCTCACCTTACCTGGCTAATCTTATATGCCGTTGCCTGCCAATGAATACTCCTGTTCCAAATAGGCCATTTTCTGCCCTGTGCTCTGAGTAGGCCACACTCATTCCTGGCTCTGGAGCTTTAGCCATAATATTAGCCACACGTGAAATCTCTCTGTTTTTCCTTTGCACTTCGGCTCTTATTATCCTTTATGTGTCAGGTTAGGGTCTCCCCTTCCATGAAATATGACAACTCTTGATGATTTAAATGATGATTACTACACCCCCCCTCCCCTTTTTCCCCTACATCTGTAGCATATTTAAGTTGCCATTCTTGTTTTTTATCTATTACTTGACTGAGTGTGATCTGTCAGTCAGGCCTCAGGATATAGCTAAATCCACCACCTTATGGGTGATCTTTCATCCTTTTCAAAGCCCCAAAGATGATGGAAACATGGTTTCCTCCCAAATATTTCTGAGGAGTTTTAGTGAACTTGTGTTTGTCTTTGTCACACCTTACTTCATTTCTTTTTCTTTTTCTTTTTTTGCACAAGGTATACATTTTCATTTTGGTTATATTCCCCATACAGTTCCCACCCCCCCCTTATTTGATCCTAATCCCCCCCCCCCCCCCATTGTGTCTCTGGTTTATAGTTGCAACTATACTTTCAGGGATCATTTCTATATTTTGTTACTTCACTTCTTTGCTTCTGCTCTCCTTTAGATCCCACTTAAATCTTGCGACTTGAACCTGTCTATGTGGTATCTGTCTTGATTGCTCTAAAACATAAGTCACAGATCAAGTATTTGTAGTAGAGTTTTATTGATTTTATTTGGGAGTAGTGATAGGGATCATATCTCAGCATAGTGAACAGAATAAAACAGAGACATTCTTTATAAGTTCCTTGCCATCCCACTATTGGATATTTGTTGACTATTACTTTTCCTGAGCCTCAGCCCCGTGACCTATTGCTGAATCTTTTCTGTACACCTTGGATAATCTGGTATCTCTAGCCTCAGTACCCTGCAGTCTCTCCCCAGTAACCTCT